GAGGAAAAAGAGAAAGAAGATAAGGCAATACGCGCAAAAGAATAGAGGAAGATGACGAAGATGACCGCAAGATGAATAAAAAAAAATATCAAGCATGAAATTCTCTCGAGGATGAATCAAGCTGCGGAGAGCGCGGTTTTGTTCTTGGCTCGCATATACGCTCCGCGACGTTCCTCGACGAAGTCTCAGGGTGGGGGGTATTTAGAAGCAGGTGTGGCTGAGTCAGCATCCCCAATATAGACGTACGTTTGTTTAGTAGAGAGCCGACTCCCTACGGAGGAGCACCTCCCGCCGATCGCAGGTCGCCAAGCGCGCAATACGAGCTCGATTTTATCGAGGGCACATCGACCGATCCGACCGGGAATTGATTGATATATATCTTTTTAACACGGCCGCACATTCCCGGATCATTCCACTGACCAATCGAGTTAGCGATACCGTCGTGAGATTACCGAGGGTCCAGCCGTCCCAGTGAGATTCCTGAATATATCGCTATCGCCGCGCTGCAATTCTCTATCACGCTGTCTGCGTGGCTGCCACTTTACTCCCTAGGACGGGGACCCGAATCTGATAGCGAAGAACCGAACAAAGGAATTATGCCGACGGGATCAGCCACGTTGTCGGAGGATAATCGTGGACGTTAATCGTCATCGTCGAAGTAACTGCGGCTCGCGCGAGAGCGGCGGCTACTAGATGATCGACATGTGCGACGACTACCCGGAGATCGTCGGCACCGACACTCTCAAGCGCTGCTGGGTCCTACTGCGTTAGTACATGCTCATCAGATTCTCTACGCGAAACCGGTGCTCGAAGCATATTTAGAATTTAAGAGGAATTACGTTTGCGGATGACTAGTAAGACTGGAAGCGCGCGCAGATTTGTTAAAGCGATTCGATGCTGGGTCTAAAACCTTCACGAGCGAGTCATTTGCCAGTGCAAACATGCAATCTTGTAATATTCTGGAGACAGGATTACTTAGGCTTACGCTTGAATATTTAGGACTGTACTCTTAATAATACGTATTTCGTTGCAGCCGAATACGATGATAGTCTCGCGATTATCAACATCCGTAATAAAATCTTGGGATGTCATAGGTAGCAGCACCACGAGCGAAGACTTGGGCAACGTTTGCCGCCTACTGGATGCCGACCTGAGGCCTCTCACGCCCGACGACACGTGCAAACTCTCGCGAGAGATCTTCGAGGAGCACAAGCAGATAGCTGAGGAATACCTTAAGGTCCAAACGGAGATAGCGTTGTTAAGCCAGCACAAGAACGAGATGCTGAAGAATCTGAGCGTCGACAGTCTCCGGCAGCAGCAGGAGCTACGGAAGCTGGAAGACGAAAAGGTTTCTCCTTTTTATTACTCTTTGCATAAATTTCGCACTCGCTTGCAGCGTTGGAGCCGATGGATGATTTCTTGTTGATGATAATGTAACTTTTAAAATATCCTTGAGCTTTAAAAAGGCTTCAAACATCGATAATTATTGCAATTGACGCGATGACTTTCAGGAGTCCCTGCTGAAACTGTGTCGCAATCTGACGCGGCAATTGCAGATCATGAAGGATCAGAGGGGGGCGTTGACGAGTGCCGCTGCCGCGTCGACGATAGGGCCCGCCGTTTCGGGAAACAACGGCTGGGTGGTGGTACCTCACCGTCAAGACCCATCGAGGCTCTCTTGAGATGCTGCGACTTGACGTGTTTCAAAGGTCTCGACGATAAGTGTACTTACGCTACGTTGCACGGTCCCGACGACTAGTCGGTGATGCGCAACGCGGATGGAATTACCTTGAGATTCCAATCCAATTTCGTACGAATGTAAATCAACACCGCGTCGCTTACTAGAGTAAGTGAATCAGAGTGGTCGCCCATAGCGGAAGATCATTTCCGATCTTATCAAAACTCGCTATCTATCCACGCGCGGTAACCGTACAATTGACTTTCGATTTTTCGACATGAAAAGCGCAATTTCAAGTACGCGCTTGCAGATACGCCTTCCGTTAGTTTTTTTTTTCCCCACAGTCACATCTTTTGTCTTCTACGCATTCTCGTTTGCGGCACGAGTTCAATTAATACAAGATATACAATCAATACAAGAGAGTAAAACAAACACACACACTCACACTTTCAAACGCAAGTGCGACAATATCATTAAAAATGTTAGAGAATATAGAATATGGAAGATTTTTTTGATTGCAAAGCCTCGAAGGCATTGTTAATAATGAATTGCAATCTAGTCCTATCGATTCATCGAGTCATTTGTTTACATTTTGACATATAATATGTATGTATATTGTGTGATGTAATATGCAGCTTTTAGTATTTAAACTATTGTCTATCAATGGAAAGTATTTTATGCGCTTATTTCTATGTGATATTCGCAGTATACAGTATACATACAGTATTTGCAGTATAGGAATGTCTCAGACTTATCATGATGTCCATTAATAGCAGATTCCTGAGATCATTTTGAAATAAAAATCCGAAGTTGTCTGAAATTTGCGTGCTCATGCATGGCATATCGCACAGTAGTGAAGATATTTTCAAGTATCAATCTCGAAATGGATATAGGTCTGCATCCTTTCATTACTGTATGATATACTGTACATTCGACCGTGTCTGATTGAATTAATCATGTGTCAAAAACACAATCCACATCCTGTTGCTACTTTTAGTTAATTATGCAAGAGATTAAAAATTTTTTTTTAATTTCTCGCTTTGCTAATATGTGGTTGTCTATGTAAATAACTATTTTACGTCTTGCTTGCGAGCCTGACTTCTCTGCAATGACAGATCTAACGAAGTAACATTACTCAAGTCAGTGCACTAATCATGATATATACAGGAGCGTACTAGTGTTTCCATTTGAATTTGACGAATTAAATGCAAGGCAAATATAATATTTGGAATAAATACGCGTGAGGCGTGTATTAAAAAGATTTTAAACGATGTTAAGCGCATGAAGCGCTTGTTAGAATTAAAATAAGTACGGGAAAATGCGCATATGTCGATAGCGGTTACAACGGATTGTCTTTTCGTAGAAAATGATATTGGAAATGATAAAGTTTCGCGCGTGTTAACGATTGGCGGCGACTGCAGCTCGCAGCTAACGTTCTCATTTCTGTTCCTATGTTAAGTATAATGTAACGAGAGCCTGAAATTATCCTCGTGAATTACCTTGACAGCGATAACAAACAATCAAACAATTATACGCTCTGCGAAAATTCTCGATAGGTTCTCTCTTGAGAATCGCTAATGAAATCGTTGTTTAAATATGTGAAAATGTAATATATAATTGTAAATATATCTCTGAAAGCTGCCGTGAGATTTACTAACGTGTTCAAGATCTTTTATTATGTATTCCCGGCACGGAGACGCTAGCGCTAGTAAAGTTAGAAGAACGTCTCGTATGAACATATGCTACTGATAGGTCATTTACAAGATCGATGAAAGACTAATGGCTTAATAGCGGCGAACTTGTTATACGGGAAACTATGGAAAATCTAGTCTGTCGTGCATCGAATCCGCTTTTTTTGCAATCAGCGGGTTAATCTATTGTTGAATCTATTGCTGTACATTGCTATATCCGTGCGTATCGTAACGATCTGGCGCAGATCCGCGCGCGCGGGGCTCATGTATTTCACGCAAAAAACGCAGGACGTGGAACGTGTCCGTCATGCAGAATGAAGTTCTGGTGGAACTGGATGGGGAAGATTAAACGCCACGGAATCAATAAACTTGGCTCCAGTCTCGTTCGATATCTTGACTGAGGGAAAGCACGAGAGATAGAAAGAAAATAGGACACGACCGGTTAACCGGGGGGAGAAAGCAGAGGGAGGTTGCGAGTTGCGAGGGCGAGACGAGATAGATGAATGAGAAGAGGGGCGGGAGGGAGGGCACGAGGGGTGCGCATATGTGGGCGGACATTGGGTAGACGAGGACGAGTGCGGAACTATAGTGATTCCCGATTAACCGAGAACAAGGGAGAAGGATGAAAAATGGGGAGGACGATGGGGTGCGATTGAGGCTCTCGGTAAAGAGGAAGAGAGAAATAAGCTAAAATACATGTACGCGCGTGCGTGAGCGGAGGGAGAGACTAAGGGGAGAGCGGATTGAGTGTGTAAGAGAGGGAGAACGGCATGGCCAGAGGGGAAAGACGAGAAGCGGAGAAGCTGAAGAAGGGGCAGAAGACAGGCCGGAACTTCAGACGTCTACGGACCTGCCCGCGAGTCTCGTTCCCTCCCTTTAATTAAGTTTTTGCACGTTTTTCTCGCGCTATCATTTTCTCCCGTTAGAGTTAGGCCGTCTTCACCGAGCGAGAGGAGACCCTAATCGCGAGAGATCGGGATGGCCCACGCCGCGTCCAACGATGTCAACGAGAAGAGCTACATCCTGGACGCGAAAAAGAACCTCGAGGACGTGAGTAAACCGTCTCCATCTCGCTCTGCTCGACGGCGGAGGATATGGTCTACCGTGTCGAGCGCGCACATCCGGTTCCGTTTTTCTCTCGTTCGCGGAAGCGAAATCATCGCCGGCGAAGCGACGCGCGACGTATCAGATCATTAAACGGCACTACAACGAGGAGAGAACGTCTCGTATCTATCTCTCGTGTGTGTTCTTTCTTCCGTCTTACCGAGATTTGCTACGCGAAGGAAACGTAGTGAAAATTGCAATAAGGTTTTTATTTTTCTAGGATATTATACTGACATTATGACGGAAATTACGATATTTTTATTCAAAGATGTTACGTTTTACAAAAAAATTACTGTGATTATTCGAATACTTTATTTGATGTACAATTTAAAACATTCAAGTTCCCCTAAAGTGAGAAAGAAGTCTTACAACCCGAGTTTGGTTGCTTTTATGCAAATTGAACATTTTGTAGTAAACTACAATATCGATATAGTCATTTTTCAGACATGAAAAAAGATTGATTGCATATTAAGCCTTTATTATAATTAAGTTTTTATACGTTGGTAGAATTTAAAATACGCGCATAAACTTTTCAGAAGCATTATAATTTCGGCTGATTCAAGTAAAAAATAATTACTCGTCAATTTTTTTAGCAACATATGCTACAATATGTTACAGCTTTAATAGAATGTGAAAAAAGAATACGCTCTTTATGTAATTTGTATTACGTAATAGTTTTTTCCACATACGAGGGGAAGTTTTGCTCGAGATATAAGCAAATCTCTCGGGATCTATCAAGTGAATAGCCACCGCACGGCTATCGAGCAACCCCGTCGCGTGATTTACTAAAAGTAATTTCGCGAATGACCGTGCTGGAGAATCGCGAGAATCCTCTTAGCGATTGTAAAAAGTGTACGAGAAAGTTACTATATACGCCACTTTCGCTACCTCGTTAATTCTATTCGCTCTTAACCCGCGGTGTTAAGCGCAAGAAAGTCCGCGATCTTGATTGCTCTCGCTGCGATTCTCGCTCGATTCTCCCCGCGGCGTGTAATCGCGCGAGCCGAACAGAAACGCGCAATTACGGCTCTTCTCCTCGCGCGAGCGCGGGTTCCAATATCTTCGAGATTGAAGTTTCCGTCGTCTTGAAAAGAGGGAGGGGGAGAGAGAGACGCGGTCTCTTAACAATTCCATCCGCGATGAGAAATTTCCGCGATGACATTTCGCCCGATACGCTCGTTTCAATCAATGCCTCCGTGATTTCTCCCGCGCGGTTCTGCCTTTCGCGAAGAGCTGTCATATCCGTCTAAGACGTACACTGCCAATGAAGGTACTCGTATGGATGCGCGAGCACCCGCGAACGACGGAAAGTGCATAGAAAAAAAATGGAGTGTCGAATCAAACTTGTAGTTTTTGTACTTGTGTATACTCAAATTAACGCGCTCATTGTTTCGTATATACGCAACAATCTATATAATCTTTTTATAAGAATTTGATAATCTTTTACCTGACGGAAATATTTTGCTGAAAATACTATGAAAAGTGAAATAAAATTATTGAAAAATTTTGAATATATTTTAAATTGAATGTAATGTAATATTGTAAAATATAAGAAAAGTTTAATTATACTGTTGAAAAGTAGTAACAAATTCTTTGAAATATTAGGGGTATAACGAAATTAACTGAATTTAACTAAAAACTGAATTTTTACTGAAATATGGATGGAATAATAATGAAATGGGGTCAATTGAGAGAGATTCTGAAATACATTTTAGCAAAATTTCGTTATATTTTCGGTTTAATTCTCACAAGTAAACCCTCTTTACCTTCTACCCTCGTGATTAAAATGAGGACCTTGGGAAATTATTTATAGGCATGCCTCAGCATCATTTAAGGCTAGTCAGATTTGCTGCAAAATTGTCAGAAACACCAAAATTCAGATGGATAATTGTTGATGGCTTGGTGGGGTCTAGCGTACAAACTGATGCATTGCATGTACTTCTATGGGTAATGTTGTTTCTGAATGTTTCCACAAAATTACCCCTGTTTGCAGCGACTATAGCAGCAGCTGAACGCAGTTTCGTTACTTTGGTGATCGCCTGGTAGATTGGATGACGGTGATGGAGATAAATATATGGTTGGATGGATGTACTTGTATAGAGGATGTGTCCCCAAAAATACCATGTGACTCTCCGTGAGTCGCGATGGTGAGACTCCACAAATATTAAACCCGCCTAGCTCTTGTCGTCCGATAAGATCGTCAGTGAGAGCGTCGATCAGGACAATGAATATTGTTGTCAAATTTGTTTATATATTTAAGTCGGCGCGGCCGAGCGCTCGCGAGAAAGCGCGTTTTTGTCTGTGCGCGCGGTTAATTAATGTGATGCCATCTTGGTAGGGGCACATGCGGCCACCATGCTACTCTATTCTACTTAATCATTATCTATAAATTATAATAATTTATTTATAAAATCAAATTAAAGAAAACGCCGTTAAACGGTCAGAACTTGGTTGCCTAATAATATTATTCGCGTGAATTTTACACGCAATTCTTCAGGTACATGCAAATGCAATTATCAGTTTGGGCGGTAGACCCCGCCAAGCCACTAACAATGATTCTGAATTCTAGTGCTTCTGAGAATTTTGCAGCAAATCTGACTAGCTTTAAATGATCCTGAGGCATGCCTAAATCATTTCCCAAAGTTTCATTTCAATCGCGAGGGGGTAGAAGGTAAGGGTTTACTTGTTAGTTGAACTATATATAAAATAACTTCATTGAAGCAAGTTTTCTTTGTTTAACGCTATATAATCTTATTTTATGATTTCTACGTTAAAACTAAAAATATTTTTAAATCAAGAATATTCTTTCTCTCTGTGTGCGAGCGACGAGAGGGATGAAAATCCTCGTTACCCCGTCGGGTTTTCTCTCGATACACGAAAGAGGAATACGGATACGTTCTCGCACACAACTGTCTTGTATATGACTATGACGCATTGTTTCGGAAATTTCGACAGGTCGGCAGTGTCGCATCGGAAGAGTCCTACGATGACACGAGACACCTAGTCGGGGTAAGGGTTGCGCATCTACACAGGAAAAAAAGAAGTGTCAAATTAAAACTTATATACTCGTATATACACAACAATCTATAATTTTCTTATAAGAATTTTAACTTTTTTTCTTGATTGAACTATGTAAATGACTTCATTCAAGTAAATTTTCTTCGTTTAACGCAATATAATCTCAGTTCCAAGATTATAGATTGCAGTTTATACTCGTATAAACGTATATTCCAGTATATAACTCTTGATTTAACTCTTCTTTTTTTCTGTAAATTAATTATAGAAATTGACTATTTCGCCATCTTCCTTCACTCATTCCCATCTCCCTCTAATTATTATTGGAGCGACGAGCGATTAATTGCCACGGACGCAGCTTCATTATATGCCCGTTCTAATTTGCAAGGCGAGATACCCGGCTGCGTACAACAAGCATGGATTAATTGGCGCGCGACAGAAACTTCCCAAGTAGCTTCGCTGATATTGGCCTATCGATTAGTCCCGCGTAATGTTGTTCCGACGCGCGACGGGACGATGCACTCCTCCGACGCGACGCGACGTTCAATTCGTCAATTAGTCACGGGCCGTTGGCCTACGACCTGGCGCACGTGCGTTATCATTTTCTCGCAGCGCTCTTTTAACTTTTATCGCGCCGCTCCCTCTCCGCTACGCTCTCAGCTCGGTATCGCTCCAAATTATTCCGCTGAACTACGATCGCGCGTAACCGTTTAGCTCCTGCCTGTCTTAGCTAATTTGCCTACGCTGATAATTTATACCCGCGTATTTTTATTTACTTTTAACCGGCGCCTCGGAATTAACGGCTTTTTCCCTCGCTCGTGCCATTAATATTCATCAGTATGAAAATATATGCGGACGCTCGTAGAATATTCGCGGGTACGAGCTCGAATACGCAATGTGACATCTAATTAACGTTTAACGTTAATTAACGTTAACATATCGCGATACTCTGAATACACTGAATACGATCTCTTGCCGCGTTTATCACTGCGAAAAGCACTCGTGCTAATGTCGGGGCGTGTTGTAGGAGCAGGAAGGAGAGTCCGACAAATTCAGCAGCCTGCCGCTCGCGAGTTTCAATTTCATCAATTCCATCATCGGCAGCGGCGTCATCGGTGAGAAAAATGATCTATAGCTTTAGATCTAATTTCGAGATTATATAATATCGTTGAAAATTATATATCGTCAAAATAATTGTAGAAGGGAAAAAGAAATCCGCTTGACATTCTGCGAAGCCCTATCCTAAAGTCGGCTAGATTAATGTGAATTTTTACAGGAATACCGTATGCTCTGCATCAAGCCGGCTTCGGTCTCGGCATCGCCCTGTTAATCTTAGTAGCGGCACTGACCGATTACTCGTTAATTCTTATGGTGCGAAGCGGACACATTTGTGGCGAGATGAGTTATCAGGGCCTGATGCGAGCGAGTTTCGGCCGCGTCGGCTTCTACATCCTCACGGTGTTGCAGTTCATTTATCCGTTCATAGGTACGTTAATGCTTGAAGGGATGCTATCCCAAAGAACGTTTATAGTAAATAATAAATAAATAATGATATTTATCTATCTTTATCCATGTCGACCGTCATATTTCGACCATGTATTTAATCAACGCATGAAACGCTTTTATCGTTGCAGCGATGATCTCTTACAACGTCGTCGTCGGCGACACGGTCACCACGGTCCTGGTAAGAATGACGGGGACGGACCAATGGAACATTTTCGCTCATCGAAACATCGTCACCCTCTTGACGACCCTCTGCATCATCGTCCCGCTTTGTCTGTACAGGAACATCGCGCGGTTAGCGAGAATCTCCTTCCTCTCTCTGGTCTGCATCGGGTTCATTCTCCTCGCCATCTTCATCCGGATGGACACCATGTCCGACACGGTGTAAGCGAGAATTTCGCCTGTAGTTCATGGGGAAGGGGGGAGGGTCACTGTGTTATCTCCTGTAAATTCGCTATATGATTGTAATCATAGGCGTGATTGATTGCAGCCCGAGTCAGAAGGACAGCTGGAGGTTCGCCAATTTCTCAGGGATCGTCCAGTCCATCGGTATAATGGCGTTCGCCTTCATGTGCCATCACAACACCTTCCTGATTTACGGCTCGATTGAGAGAGCGACCCAGCAGAAGTGGGACGTGGTGACGCACTGGTCTCTCTTCACCTCTTTCCTGATCGCCGCGGCATTCGGGATTGCCGGCTACGCGACCTTCACGTCGTACGTTCAGGGCGATCTGATGGAGAATTACTGCTTGGACGACGATCTGATGAATTTCGCCAGGATCATGTTCAGCGGCACCATACTCCTCACCTTTCCGATCGAGTGCTTCGTTACGCGCGAGGTAATGTCTCTCATCCTGGTCGGTCTAACGCAGATCGGAGAATTTGCAAGAGTTTTACGATCGCGATTTATATTACCGCTTCAGGTGCTCATGACGGCGATCAAGGGGACGGAAAAATTGGAGGGAGACGAGGCTTATGTGCCTGACTCGGACCGTAAGTACCTGATAATCACCTTGGCGATATTATTCATAGCATATCTGATCTCCACGTGGACGGACTGCCTCGGCGTCGTTCTCGAGTTGAACGGCATCCTCGCCGCGGTGCCGCTCGCCTACATTCTGCCCGGTCTCTGCTACCTCAAGCTCGAGGAGGGGCCCGTCCTCTCGTCCAAGAAGCTGCCGGCGCTCGGCCTGATGGTCGCCGGTATTCTGGTCGCCATCTCGGGTCTCCTGCTGATTATATTCAACAATAATTCAGTCGGTACCTGCTTTCACGGCATAGCGTCGTATTGCACCCCCGAAAATGGGACGACGCCGTATAGCGAGGTGATCATGGTGTCCACCGAAAACTACAACAACACGGAGAGCCCGAGATCTGAGCTTAACGGTTAAGCACGGTAAATCTCTAGCTTAATCGTAGGTCTGCTAAATTGGTGAAAGTATAGCCGGGTGATTAATTTTGTGGGAGAAATAACGTATAACATTTTGACGCATCCAATATATAATTGCTTCGAAAATCTCAAAACGTGAAATTTTACAACAAACTTGCGGGAAAAGAGTTGAAAGTTTCTACAAGATCAGATACGGCAGGATTTTATCTATGACTAAATATATTATTCCAATGAGAGGGTACCCGAGATTATAATACCGTGTCGTTAAACGGAAAATAAAACTGCGCAAATCAAACTGGTTGTAAATCAAACTAGTTGTAAATCAGGTTTAAAGAGAAATAGCGATTGTGCTATTGTGATGTCCTAATCGATAGATCTCATATTGTGGAAACATTTTATGCTCTACAGTAGACTTTAATATTAAATATGTGGGACGTAAATTTATAGGGGAAAAAAAAACGGAATGTTATTGTTTACGTTAACGATGGGGAACATTTAATTATATTGGACAAAATACTGTTCCCTCCACGATTTTATTCCACGATATCGGGATGATATGATTGGAAAATCATATATCTCGAACGCATGATTATCGCAATATAAAATCAATGCAATATAGGATTCGGCTTACGAGCGAGAAATCCGTAAAAAAATTGGCAATAGATATATAATCGTTCTTTCCGTCATTTAGTAAAGTGTACAGACCTATATAAATGTTTGTCGCACACAAATTTACCGAGTCACAGAGTAAAATCGTAATCTTTCAAGTGTGTAACGAGTTTGGGATTTACGACTGAAGACGATTAATCAATTCTCCGCGACGCATATTATTAGAGTCTCAGAATCTTAATGTACCAATCGAGATAATTATTGAACTTCCGATACTATTATTGTACGTAATATATAATATATATAGAAAGGACTCTTGTGTATTTAGTCCTGATAAAGTTCCAGAGGTACGGCTCTAACGTGAAAACAAAATCTCTGTGGTTATAAAAAATGCGCGAATTTTAAGGAATATATTATAATTTTAAAGAATAGTTATTGCGATTAGAAAATGATGACTAGGCAACTAACGTATAGAATACGTGAGCTAAAATATCATTATATTTTTAAAAAGATGTTGAACAGACAAATAGTTTATAAACGAGAAGATATTATGTATATGTACGTTGTATATCTATATATACACCACACATATATGCACACTACGTTTGTATTTTTTCGTGATACGGGACTAATATTGAATGTTGAAAGTAAGAAACATACAAACGGATCTATAATGTTCATAAAAGATAATGCGATAATTAGCGGCTTAAAAGCTTTTTATTCGCAACTTGTTCTACCTTACCTAGATTCTTGACATGCTCTGCGTTTTCTTTTTTGAAGAAAGAGAGAATCGGAAGAAAGAGAGAACCAGCACTGATAGTTTTTTAATTTTTTACGACTCGTAAAATCGTTTTTAAAAGTATTTTTTGCATAAGTTTTTTGATACGATTAAACTCAAGTATTTTGTTTGCGATATGAAAATAAAAGATATAATAGCATAAAATAGGACGAATAACGACAACACTTGACATACCGGTGCAATCATCGCTTAGATTTACCGCTGCAAAGTTTAGTTGATCGGAAGATTTGGCTATGAGGAGTTACATTGTATGTTCATAGTTCAAAAGACAAAAAAGAAAAGGGGAGCCAAAGTGTCTGTAATGTATCAAAATATAATATAGAGCCGCAGTGGAAATGACACAATCAAATCGGGGGGCAAAAGTGAATTTCTCTTTTTACCCCCCAAATGACGCTTTACACTTACAGAAAACAAACACTGATGCGAAAAAGACCACATACAAGAGGAAAGTATTTATTCGCGCGTAGCTCGCGTACTATAGTACATAAGGCAAAAGAATCAAATATGTTTACCTGTTTATGCACATTTGAATATAAAGAAAGATATATAAAAAGCATATTTGAGATAAAAAACTATATAAAGACTCTAAGTTGGTACATACATTATAGGAACGGCCTAGGGAAAATGGAATATATATTATCGGTGAATATACACGTGATGAGGCAAAGCGAGAGAGATTTTGTGACCGTGTATCGCATGTTATCACGCACATACACATCCGCTGTTTCGTGTCGCAGTGAAACAGACGCCTCGTTCGAGCGACAAGACTTGTACACGTTTAGTGACATTTACGTTCGCAGCGTTATCATTATACACGTGCGCGTCGCACATTGGCGGTATTCCTTATATAGATATAATGTATAATTTAACCGGCAAAATAAATGTAAATCTATATGCACGTACGAGAGAGGAAAGGACAAGACTCGCGTTTTGCGCCCTTTAGGGCCGGTTTTTCCAACCTGTTGGTAATCTAACTAATAGTTAAATCATATGTCTATCTTTGTTTAATGTAAAGGATAAACAAAGACATATATATGATTTAACTATTAGTTAGTTTATCAAAAGGTTGGAACAACCGGCCCTAAGAGCGTCCACATATTATTCGCCCCGCCGATCTCTTTTCGATCGCTCGTTCGCTCGTAACGCACTGACTGGATAAACATTACGTGGTTGTGACAGTACTGTAGTAATGTCAAGATTATCGTTATTGATTTAAGATACCAAGACACGGAGCGCGCATATATACGACCAGACATAAGTAGTAAAGTTTATCACGCGTGGACATGAGTAACTCGTATAATTGAAACATGCAGAATAAAGACTTCCCAACTCTTTTCCTTTCGCTCTCGTAACGTGACGCGCCCAGCAAACGTATGATTTAATTGTAAAACGACTCTCTACAAACAAATAGGACACGTGTAAGCGACTAATAACTCGGACCGTCCTGTGATATTATTTTTAACGACGCTTCCTTTATGATTTGTCTCTATAAAGCTTGACCGCGTAGAGAGGGAATTTTTAAACTATATATGTTTAGTGTTTGGCGATTAAGAAGGCAAAGATCAAAAGAATTTGACTCGATGCGAACGACAGACTGATCTTTTTACGCTTGAAGACATTAAATTTGACAATTTCGCGTTGCAAGACGCCGTGTATTAGTAAAGCTAGTATCAATCTGTTGCGTCCGAGAAAACATTTATAAGTGCCAATTTCGACGAAAGAGAAAAGAAAAATTTATTAGACTAATCCAATCTTAATGTTCGTAAATATATAAACGTGAACGTATTATTTATGATTGTTCTATATTGACGTTAAGTAAACTTTACACACGTTGGAGATCGTTGAATGGTATAGTGAGGAGAACGGAAAAGAGGCCACAGATATTTTAAATAACGAAGCGTTTAAAAAGCAAATATCTCGAATAAAAATGTTGCATCTCAAACAGAGAATAAACGTGATGCGCGCATGCAAATTTTATCGCATGCATTTTTCATGAGGTATCTATATATTATTATGTCACAGATGTTATTAATGGAGCCACAATATTTTCTTACGTAATTTATTTTTTCCTGAATATAAAAGTATTAACATAAAGCTATAAAAAAAAAGTTCGAAAATTTATAAAAGAGACGGGAATATTTTAAATATATTATTTTGATAGAAAAGTGTGAGAGATATCTCATAAAATATCGATTTTTCTATATTTCGATTTATATCTTATTTATACATAAAATCAACAAGATAAATCGATTAGTATCTACATGTCAAAAAATTCTTTCATAAATTTTGCGCTTTCGACATATTTGAGGGTTGCAAAACGAAGACACTTTCTCCTTACCCTGGTATAAAAGAACGTAGTTTATTATTCGTGCAATATTAAAATTCTATGTGATTTCATACCAACTTAAATATCCCTCCAACGATGTTTGCTTTGGTTTTAAAGCATTCCGTTTCTCCGGACAAACGTAATTTATTTACAAAGCGTTTCGAATTAGTTGAAGTTGAAGATTAGGAGAAAGAAGCGACGTCTCCTCCGCGAGTACTTTCTCGCGATGCGAGAAAGTGAAGTAGAATCGCGGTGGGTCACGCAACGGAGAGGACGTTACGGGGAAGCATGGGAAAATGTGCCGCGACGTAATTTCACGCAGACGGGAGCCACGGAAGGAGGAGGACCTCCTCTCCTCCTCGGGAGGAGGTTCCGAGTGCGTGACGCGTAAGGAGCGGGCACACCGAGTGTGCGTGTGTATATGCGTGTGCGTACAGCCGTGACGCGAGGCGATTGCGTAAGGGATGTTGATAGCGAGCGAAAAGCAATCGTGCCGTTATTCGCCACCGTATCGCGGGTCTTCCGACCACATTTATTCTGTGATAGACACGTGGCACACATGATGCGTTTACAAAATATATATACGGGTGTGCATAAGGCGCGCGTACCCGCGATGCTACGCTATATACGTATAATGTTATCTATTTAGGTTTATTTCGCGAAATAAAAGACGACTTGAGATTAACGCAAAGCGTTCTGTTTATTATTCCTCCTTTCCGTACACCTGCCCTCGCAGATAAAGGATGAACGTCGTGACAATTTTATATGGCTATTGTATGCGCATGTATATATCGCGTGCACGTTTTTAATTTACGCTAAAAGATAAATATATTAAAATGAAGAAAATATAGATTTCTTTGAATCTAGTTTCCTTAATTCAAAGAAGTATTGGGTAGATTTAAGAAAACATTTTTCTGAGTTTAAAATATTTTATCCAATCTACCTAATACTTATTTAAACAAAAAAATATATTTTCTTGATTTTAATAAATTTTTTTCAGTGTGTATGTAAAACCGCAATGCTCTAAAAGCTCCCAATTATCCCGGTATTTAACAGAAAATTTCAGTAATATCGACAATAAATGCGGTTTTTCGGTAATTTACTGTATCGCTACTGCGTTATTGAATGTCAATGTAAGCAATACGATTCTCGTAATATTCATCTCCTTGATATTCATTTTACATAAATTAATACACATATTCTTTACAGTAATTTAAAAAGGATGCTTATTAGCATCAAAAGTTAAATCGATTGAGGAAGACCAAAACCAATTGTCGAAACGTTGTAACTACAATGAATAAATTTATTTTTTGTTCATTATAAATTTGTGATTATAATGAATAAAGGTGACCAGGGTCGAGGTAAAAGTCAATATTGTTAATGTACACATCTAGACAATTACAATTAATCACAATTGTAATTAAATTACGATTGTGTTGTTATGGACATTAATTCATACACGTAATTTCCTTCTCGTTTGTATTTCATGTTATTTTTCCCTCGTGATTATTTTGAGAACGTCGATGTCCAATAATATACATACGTTGTACCAAGCTCTATTTCCGATCAGTTTTTATTTACTTCGATTATTGTATAAAATTGGGAACTCGTTTTCATACACGTAGAAATTGATATTTCTTTTCATAGCGTTTTCAATCGCTGCCCGCAACAATGCCGCGTTTTCAATGCCCGCACGTCAATTCAGGGACAATCGCTCGCTCGCTCGCCTCTTCTATCGGGACGATTTATCATAGGATTTCACTCGACAACGAAAGCAAGAGGGGAGCGAAAGTGATCAGAGAGATGCATACTCCATGACCATTTCGCCGTGCCTGCGTTTCCAGGGAAAGCGCAATCTCCCGCTCGGCTATATCGACTTCGACGCGACGTCGCGTCCATCCGTTTCGCGGTTTCTAAATCGCGCCGCGATCAAATACCCGCGGAATCTGCGGGCAGAGTCGCGGCTTCGCGAGTGTCGCATCGTCGTATATATTTTTTCCTCATCACAATGATTACGCGGTCGCGAATCGCGAGACTGACTGACGTACGCGCGAGCGCTAAGGGAACGGAATTGGCGGGGAACAAAATCCACACACGGCCTTGATGGCGACGACCGCGCGCGTGTTAATCGTAGATACCCTCCCCGGTCGCCCGCGCTCGATCGATCGATCTTCCGCCGAGATGAGAAGAGATCGTCGCTCGCGAACCCCCGACCGACCGACCGATATCCGCGCAGCCCTGCCTCGAGAACGCCGCGGCCGCGGCCGCGGCCGGCCCAATTGGCCCGCTGTCAGCCTCGATTGGCCCCCGTTCGACCTATTTAATCTTGCGACGACAGTCGAGATCGTATACCGCATTTCGAAACTGCTTAGACCCCGACCTCCCGACCGATCGAGATCTAAGGCCTGTTTTTTTTTATAGCTCTATTACGTTGCATTTTCTGCTTTCATAAAAAAAAAAAAAATAGAAAATAGGCGTGCATTTAGAAAAAACAGGGAGAAAAGGTGAGAAAATTATAAGTTCAATAGCAGATCCCCAATCGAGGGAGACGCGGTGCTGCGAACGACGAAGCGAACCTGAAAATCTTAGATTGTAACGTCGTTACCTTCTTTTTAGGAAAAATAGATTTAAACAATAATATATTGTAATGTATTTGTCATGTTAATACTTTGTGCTTAGTCTTCTTTATCTTTAAAATTATATAATTTTCAATGCTTCAAATTTGAAAACGATGTAAGAGGACAGGGCTATAAATTACCGTTTCAAATTTATCTCTATAATCTGTCTTTATTATTAGCGAAATATTCCTACGCTTTTAACTTATCCGGCTGTATTATTTTTTTTTCAACTCAAGTACGCGCACTTTTTCTTCTACCTTTTTTCCAGAATATACAAATTTTTCAGTCATAACTCCTGGGACCGATTGACCTCGCATGGACTAATCGATAGCTGGTTCTCATTCCGCAAAAGTATTTCTACTTTCCCTCTACGCGTTCCACGAATAACGTACAATATACATCACAACGCAAAAGGTCCGAATAGGATTTTCATCCGGAGGAACGTATCGCCGTTGAAGAAAAGCGCAAGCGCTTCCGACGAGCCACCAGTGATGGCCCTAGTTTTCTCGTTCTAATTTTCCAATCTAATCCGAGCATCTGATTCATCATCGTCGTCGCAAACGACGCGACGCGACGCGGCGAGAGGCGAGACGCGTCTCTCTCAGACGGCTGCCGGCCGCGTCGTCCGGGTAACGGCGTCGCGTCGCGTCGCGTCGCGTCGCGTCGTCAACGTTGTCGCCGTTGTCACCCCGACTCCCCGACCCCACTGCCGTTGCTGCGACGACGACGGTGCCAGCACTTGGCACTAAACTTGGCAGTGGTAGTAGCGGTGGTCGGGTGTCGGGTGGCGAATGTGGCGATGGTCAGTACTGGCGACGGTGGCTGGTGGCGACGACGGTGGCGAATGTTTAATCGCGGCCGTTCCGTTCCGCGCGAGAGCCGCGAGAGCTCGATAGTGACGGTTTACGCGTTGCTGACGGTGGCAGCTGCCGAGAGTGCCGAGTCTGGCGGCACGTCTCGCTGCTGATAAAAGGTGCAACATACACGCACGCACGGGCGCGCGCGCATAAACGAACGCGGCCATGCTGTAGCAGTGTAGCGTGTCGCGCCGCGTATATACAATACAATACACTCGACGCCGCTGCGCGTGTACGCCACGCATCGTCGTCGCTGTCGTCCGCCGCTCCGTCGTCCACACACAATGTCCTCGTCGTCGCCGATCATGGACAGCGCGGTGACGCACAGCCCGGGCGGGCTG